GTCGTTTTGAAGATTATCGGAAACAGACAGACAGAAAAAATATATTTAAACTAGTGTTTGGGCGTAGGTATCGTGCAAATAACCGTGTGAGCATGAAAAAACCTATCATTTTGACATTAAAAACAGACACTTCACTTTTCTTTATTTGTAGGTATAGATAGATTATAAAAAGCTGGCTCTGTTCATTAAATATATTAAACAAAACGAGATAAAATAAAGTTTAGCTTCCGGTTACTTCACTCACTCGAAAAGTACATAACACCGGTTTTCTATGAGGCCATGGTATTGCTCCGGTTTAGTCGGCCCATATCTGCCAAAGCATGTATCTACCACTAAGGCTCGTCTATCAACAATAATAATCATCATCACCATCGACAGCCTTTTATAGTACACGGCTGGATATAGGCCTCTCCTATAATAATAATAATAAATTGGTCCGTAAACACAGTTACAATAAGGCTTGAGCTGAGAAAAATAAAAAAATAAAATTAATATTTTCGGACATCTGACACACACCGCCATCTAGTTTCAAACTATGCAGAGCTTGTGTTATGAAAGCTGGATAGACTGATAAAATATTTATATAATTATTTTTGGTAAAAACATATTATACATTGAAAACACCCAAACTCCGAAACAAATATTTGCAGATGATACAAACGTTTGTGCCGATCCATGAATCGAACCCAAGACCTTAGTACGGCAGTCGCTAACGCTACTACAGTCAATATTATTATCAATTTTAAATATTAAGGAAGATTGCTTAGTGAGCCTAATCTCAAACTATTTTTTCTTGAGTAAATTGCCCCCAAGCGACAACATGCTTAGGCAATGAAATATTGCTGTTTCAAAATTTAAAGTTGAGTCGGGAGTCAAGTGTAGAGCAATACAATTTTGAAGGTTATTGGTAAACAGCAGTTGGTTATACAACAAACTATGTCAAATGCCTGAACTCCTTAGAGCGCCAAAAACAAACATATTTGATGGTAATGTTTTTACTTATCACTACTTTAATAAATCAATCTGTGGCGTAGATATCAGTCAATATTACCAATTTGGGCTCACCAGCTTTGCAGTCATTTACTGTCCACTCATTAACCACATTTAGCTTTTGTTTCTGAGGAATTTTCTAGTAAAAGTAACTAGCAGTTCTTACTAGTAGTAGGTAGGAAATTCCAAGGTAGATTCGATTGCAGAAAGTCCTCTCTAAGCTTTAAACAATTTTCAATCGTCAATGTCTAATAGCAACCTATTAGTTCCGACTGAATGAAATCTGTCATGCTGTTAGTAACCCTAACTGTTGGTTCTGTTACCTATTCTTTGAAAATACCATGCAGAAACTGCACTTCTTCATCATACGACTATAATCAAACCACAAAACGCTCTGAAATTGCAAAATTGGTGACCTGGAATTTGAAGAACCCGACTTCACTAACTCACAACATTCTCCTTTTGAGTGAAGGTAATCACAAAAGGAGTTTGTATGAAATGAGGAAATGCAAAAATACTTTTACCTTTTCGACCTATTTGTAAAAATAACGATAAATATTTGACACTGGCATTAATTATTAATGTAACAATAAATTCACAACCGTTTTATGTGTATATAAATGGAAATATTGTAAGCGATTTTAAATTAAATCAAAAGCGACGTTTGTACTGAATCCCCAAAATCCCCAATAGAAATAAATTAAGCTTTGCATGTTGAATCAATTCCAACGGGTATTCTACTCAAATTAATTTCAACGCCGAACAAAATGAAATACGTCAATGTTTTATTGAAAAGCGTTTTTTGATGTAAACATTTTTTACTTTAGGAAACGTAATTCTAAAAGATTATTATTTTCAGTGTAAGTGCATTTATGATTGAGGCGAATAATATTTTTCCGAGGCAATAATTTTTTTCGAACTTCGATTTTGGTTGCTCTCTGAGTAGTTGATGACACGTGATGAAACACGATAGTGGTAATGTCTTGTATTTGTAATGAGTGTGTGTAGACGACGACATGGGCACTGAACCATGACACGACAATACTGCGCCACACTCAAGGTCTTTGATTTCGTATATATTCGTATATTTCATTTAAGTTTTCAATTAGTTCAGCAGTTTAGTGGTAGATGTGTGAATTGTGACTTAAACACAACTTAGTAGTTCTAAGTATAACGCCTTGCTTGGGTGCCCAACGCTTTCTATTGTCATTAATATCCCAAATTATTACCGATTTTCTCAAAGTTATGGAAGTTTATTTTCTTATAAAAAAACTTAATTCTTATGTGGTGACTCCCACATACAAAGAAACAGAAACATACTACAGCGCCATCTAACGAAGACACACCGAACTACGGAGTAATTCCTGAATGAGAATTGCTAATCCGCGATATGAAGAATTCTCTCAACGATTCACATATATACTTCCCAACATCAACCGTTGGGCCGCGGCCCGCCAGGTATGATCACCAGGGACATGACACCCGTTCCTCCACAGTGGTGACCTTGATGTGATTGGAATCAACCTTCAAAAGGAGCAGATCATCAGCAGCATCATCGTGTACACTCCCACAGCGATGAGCAGTAATCAGATCTAAGCCAGCCAGCAACCCGGGCCACAACAGGGATACCACCTGCAGGTAGCAACCGCTTCTGTGTGCCTCCCCCTACGGCTTCATCAGCGTCTACGCAGCGTCTCTCTCCCGTCTACGCAGCAGCCAACCGCCCCGACTCACTGGGATCAGCGGAATTCAGCCCCGACTCACTGGGGCTAGCGGCACACAGTTCCGACTCACTGGAACTAGCCGCAACCAGTTCTGACTCACTGGAACTACTTAATCTTTATCAAATTCATTCATAATCATTAACATGGTAAATCCTTTTGAACAATTTTTTTTGTTGTTTATGACCATACTTTTTAACCTATTTCATTTGAGAAAAAAACAAATATGTACAGAACGGGAAGTCTCTAATTATGGTAACGCGCAAAAACTCCATTTTGTATTCGAAGCATGAATCATCTGTTTTTACCAATTACTTTCATGGAAAATTAACATTTTTTGTAACATACTTTTCACTATTAATATACAAGGGTTGCAGAAAAAATATGAGAACAGTGTTTAAATGCTTAAGAATTTTCTGTTTTCTGTAATTATTAGTTAGCGATTCTAGGATCAACGTAATAAGGTTATTTTTACTTCACATAGTACACCGGTAAACGGTATGTTATAAATAAGTAATAATCTTAGTATTTTGAACTCTACTCCAATGTCCACCTTCTAAGTGATATTTAATTTCATTTTATAAACTTAAAGCTACTGTTTCTGTTACTGTTTAAATTATCTTTTATTAGAAACATAATTCTTAGTTTTAACCTCAATCGTGCTACTACTTGGTTAGAGAAGGAAAAAACTTTGAATAAATGATGTAAAAACAAGGAAAAGTGATAGATACAACAGTAATTATCGTAAGAAAAAAACCAAGGTTTGTATAAGTTTGGATCTATTTACCTTTGATCTTATGTTAAGGGCTTATAATTCAATTTGACTTGTAGTCCATTTTGGGAAGGTTGTCTAAAATGACCCAAAGTGAAAAGTAGTTTTGTAAACTTAGATAAATTATGATCATTTTGTATTATTTTATTTTAATTTTATACAGAGTTACTAATTAATTTGACCTAAATACTGTAGAGTGTCGTAGTGACCATTATTACTGATAGATTTCACAATGAAATACCATATTTCAAACTGAACCAATTTCTTTTTATTTTGTAGTAAAAATTGGCAAAATTTTGCCTAACACAATTTACTTTATAAGTTATATCCTCATTTTTTCTTATTTTTCATTACCAAAAGTGTAGTTAACTTAAAAAAAAATTGTAGAAGGTTGATAGTAATAAAATAAAATAAATAGCAAAGTCGCAGGTCGTGCATTCGATTCCCGTCCAGAACGATCATTTCTTCTGTATCTAAATATATTTTATCTATAATATTATGTATGTGTGTGTATGCATTCAGAAATATATAAGTATGTTTATCAAAAGTCTGGGTACTATAGCACAGGTTCTGCGTAGTTTGGGTTCACATTGTCATATGTGAGATGTGGGAAGTTCGATATAGACCGGGCAGTAATAATAATAATTTCCCATCCCATTGAAGATATTTTGCTTATATGAATAGCCATATACGCAATATATCTTTCTTGCTATTGGCTACAATTATTATTGAACACATTTTGAAGACCGAATGGCGTAGTGGTTTGTGTAACAGACTGCTATTCCAAAGGTCGCGGGTTCGATGCCCGCTCAAGTCAAACATTTATGTGGATGAACATTTAATGTTTGATATGGTCTGGGTGTTTCTATGTATAATCAGTATGTATTAACAAATAAAAAAAGTATATATGTATTTATATCAGTTGTCTAGTACCCACAATACAAGCTCTACTAGGTACAATATTGTTATTATATTATTATTATTTTAATTACATTCCTAATTTTCTCATTTAATTTGTAGTGCCTAAACGCGAACAAGCTTGCCTCCTATTAATTAACTGGGACTAACATTAAAGTTACAGAGTGCGGGTGTTTACAAAAACTCTGCCTAATTCTTTGGGGCTATAGGCGTGAGTATATGGATGTATTTTTAAATACTAATAACTGTTTTTTTTTTGTTTCAGGATAATTTAGTGAAACACTTGGCGAAATTGGAAACTGTCCCAACCAAGTGTTTAGAAATAGTAAATTTATAGTACCTTTATAATATTTAGTAAATAAATTCAGTATTTTAACGAAAATATTTATTATTAAAATTAAAAGTTGAATTATTGAGGAACAAATCTATTAAAAAAAAACATGATTTTAAATATTTGAAAAATGAATTCCATTGAATTAAAAAACAAATTAATGATCAAATGGAAATTTAAATTCTGAATTCGGGACCATAAATAAAAACCGAATTTAGTAACTTGAAATTTGAATTTAAAAGTTAGTTTCTTAGAACGAATAATTGAAATGGCTTCTCCGTCGACAACACCCAAGGCTCCTTCTCCGCCCCCAGCCGGTCATGGTCCCAGCAAGATGGAGAGAAGGATGTCTCATTTCAAAGAATACAAGTTCTTCAGGAGTTTCAGTGCGAAAGTGGAGAACTGGCCTATGAGAAAAGCCGAACAGCTGTGGAGGAAAATGCGAGAACGAAAAATTGCAGGTAAGCTCTTTTACATAGTAGATATTTTTTGTAACATCTCTGAAGGTTTAGGATAAAGAAACATGCTGTTTTTAATAGTTGACCAAACTTTGAATAGCTGATGAGTATTGACAGACATATTTGATGATAGATAATAGATTAAAATATTACAAAAATAATGAAATATTTCAAAACACAAAAAGATTTCGCCCAACGTGGGGCTCGAACCCACGACCCTGAGATTAAGAGTCTCATGCTCTACCGACTGAGCTAGCCGGGCTTGTAACAACATTCTACAAATTACGTATCAGTTCTTACATTACGAATATATTTTTAATACTGATGCAATAACGTTGTGATCATGGTGGCCTTCACACTCGCAGCCGTAAGACCTTGTTTTTATTTTTTCTATAATTTGTACTTAAGCCGAGTTTCTTTGATGTTTGTTGAATGATAAGAGTACCATTACACAGATTATTTTTACAGTTCTCTTTAGAGATTGGTTTAAGATAAAAATATTTTTGTGATTGACTCTTACGAGATATAGATTGTGATGACACATTATATCATCTTTTTACCAGAACTCATAACGTGTTTGATATACCTAACTGAATGAATGAAAACAAAAAACCAATAGTCGTGTCTACTAAATTATTAGGTTTTATGGATATTTATTTTGTATAACAAAGTTATTAGAAAATGGTTTACACCACTCAGGTAGTAAAATACGACTCATCTTACATACAAAGGTAACAATAGTTGTAAGTCAAGTAATTTTGGTGGCGTTATTGTTATTGTTGTAAAACACGTGTAAACGTGGGTCACAAAAGGCAAATAAACATGCACTAAAATAATTTTGCAAAATTCAACAATTGTTATAATAAATCACTATCAATTGACATTTAGAGTATAAGACCTTGAATAGAATTAGAATAAACCTGATTAGAATTTTATAAATACATTTTTTTTTCAAGCTTTGTTTGTTAATACTAAAAATAAACATAAAAGTTTAGAAATTTCTGACTATTTTTATTTATAAAAATTGAATGTTAACTTCACCATTCAATTTAATTTGTAAATAATTAAGGGACGCGTTCAGTGAATAAACTTGGTACCTTTTCACTTAAAATTTGGTATCACATCCTACAACAGCCCACTGCTAGACATGGGCCTCTCCTTAGAAAGGAGGTTTTGGCCTACTATACCACGCTGGCCAGACAGGTTGGTATAGGGTTTGTTTCAAGTTTTCCTTCTCTTTGTAGTGCTGTTGTTCTGTGTAGTTTGCTCCCTTAGCTTACGACATCCACGGGATGAATAGGGGTGGTGACATTCCGTATTCTTAATCCGTCACCACACGGAGAATTTGGTATAGATGAGTAAATCAAAAGTTATAATTTTAATCTGCTTGCCAAAATAGTGTAGCTATAATATTTTTGTAAGTAACCAGTATCTTCCTGATGAAAAATCCGGACAAGTGCGAGTCGCACTCGCCATTCCAGGGTTCCATACAAATTTGTACATAATATAAACAGTTTAGGATTCGAGTTTCGAAGTTTTTGCCGTGCTTTTCCCGAAATTCAGTTTCTAAAACCTATAATTACTTATATTTTACTAGCTGACCCGGCAAACGTTGTTTTGCCAAGAAAAAATGACAAAAAAAAGAATTGGGCTAAGAAAAATAGATGTTGGCCGATTCTTAGACCTACCCGATATACACACAAAATTTCACGAAAATCGGTTGAGCCGTTTCGGAGGAGTTCAACCACGCACACCGTGACATGGGAATTTTAAATATTAGATATACAAAGGAGATTTTCCACCTCGTCGCCAGAGGGTGAGGAACGGAAAATAGCCTAGAAATACATTCAATTTTAAATTGGATTTCTGATAGTTGATGGCTGCTACTGAAATTGAGTACTAGAGTATTGTCAGAAAACAATGTGATCCAACTGCGTGATTTCAAAGTTTGTTTTTAATCAAACATCGAATGGAATTGCACGATGCATCCGATTTGATCGAACGAGGTCTGAAATGAGATAAAGCAAATTTGAATTGAAGATTGTTGCAACACTATCAGCTCAGGGCATGCAACTTTGTAAACTTTAATTTGTTTGTTTGATCTAATTATTATCTTGTAAGGTTTTATTGGAAAATGTATACATATAAATATTTGGGCTGTTATCCAACTTTTGTCCGTTTGATACTCGTGATTAGACTAGTTTAGCCATTTTACTATTTTTTTGGTTAAGAATCACATTCATTTCTTTTTATTGTTACGGGAGCAAATAAGCAGACGGGTAGCTGATGGGTACGTGACTATCACCGCTCATGGACATCTATAACTCAAGAGTCACATGTATTTCTCTCCTCCCGAACTATAAGGAACTCGAAATCCTAAAGTTAATCTGACAATTATTTTGTTTACCTTTTTGTTGTAAAAGAAAACTAATTCTATACTTATATTATAAACGAGCTGATGCCCGCGGCTTCGTTCGCGTGGAATTTTAAAAGCGCTGCCTTAGTAGGTTCGATTCCCGGACCGGGAAAATTTTCATAGTTTAAGTTACTCCTTATATGGACAGCTATCTGGTAGTAAAATATTTTTAAAAATCGGTCAAGCCGTCTTAAAGATACCACTAACAGACAGACAAAACAACTAAAACTAGTATATCATAAAGAACAAAAGGTTTGACAAAGATCACAAAATATATTCGATTTTGTTAAAAAATGTATCCGAGTTTTGTTTTTGAAAATTGGTCATATCCGAGTCGATCTAAAAAGCTATTTTTAATAATTGAATTTAGCTAAAAGCAAGTTCATTGTTATGACAGTATTAAGTGTCCATAAAATTTTTAATCAAAGGCAGCCTCCAGCTATTTTGAAAAAAGTAGGTCAAAGGACACAACGAAGATAAATGAAAGGCGTTTAAGAAAAGGGAATGACTACCTTAGGAGTATTAACATAACATACGAATATTCAAATCAAAACGTGCTTTAATTTTTTTTAATAGTCAACAGCCTATAATAGTCCACTGCTGGACATAGATCTCTTCTTAGAAAGGAGGTTTTCTCTAAGGTTCTTTCGAAAGGACCTACTATACCATGCTTTTCAGACAGGTTGGTATAGGGTTTGTTTCAAAGTTTGGCCAGCCGCGAGGGGGCGGCGTCCGCGTGTGCCGGACGTCGCCTAAAGAGAGGAAAATTTTGAGACGGGGCCCGCAACAGGAGCGGGCCGGCGCTAGGAGGGGTCCGGATGTCTTAATAACAGCTGTTCCCGGATCCTTCCTATTACAGGCGCAGAGTGGCACACCGTGTGGTTTTAGTCGGTCCGAGTCCGACACACCACCCCGCCGCAAACCCCGGTGGGGTGACGGTCCGAGGGGATTTCCACACGTTAAAAAAAAAAAAAGGGTTTGTTTCAAGTTTTCTTTCGTTTTGCGTAGTTTTCCCTCTAGTCGTCTCTTACGACACCCTCGGGATAGGTAGGGATGGTGCCACTCCGCATTCTTAATCCGTCACCACGCGGTTATATAATACCACCACAAATATTTTAATAGTGATGCCAATTATCTCTACAAAAGCAAAAAAAGGATCGAACTTCGCTCAAAATATTTCAAAGTTTAGCAATATAGGGCACAAGCATTAATTAATTTGTAATTACTTTAATAGAAGCTTTTTAATTTTCTGTTTGCTTTGAGGATAAATAAATAATTAACTTCTTGATTGTGTAAATTACTTGGGCACCGGTTTTTAATGAGTCCTATTATTATAGGTCCAAATTACTTCACCCTTAAGTACAACCAATTTATTTATTCACTTAAAACTCAAATCATAAGTTGTCCATAGGCGACTTAATGCCATGGAGCATTATCTCTCCTAGTCGTCTACTAGTACTCTGATAAGTGCAGAGGTAAAAGATTAACCCACATTCGATATATTATATATAGATGGCTGTATCTATTACTACATAATTTATATAGACGTACAAAGGTATACATATGCGTAAATATAAATCATCATCATCCACAGCTTAGAAGGAGGTTTTGCCCAAGTTTCTGTCAAGTTTGCCTTTTCTTTGCAGAGCAGCTGTCGTGCCTCGTTTGCTCCCTTAGTCGGCTCTTACGATACCCATGGCATGAATAGGCATGGTGACACCCGTATTCTTAATCCGTGACCGCACGGATAGAAAAGATAAATATCAAAATACAATTCACGGGTGCAAGTGTTGTGATTGTGTTCATCATCACAACGCTAGCAGAACGTTCGTCCTGCTGATTAATTTTTAAGAAGATTGAATGTAAGATGGTTTGTGGACAATCTGATTTCAAGAGGTGGTGCGTTCTAGAGAAGAACTGACTGTGAATAGAAGGAAGAATTGACGAAGTTGAAGGTATGAGGTATAGGAAGACGCATAGAAGAAGCACATCACTTGATGTTAAGGACACAATCCATTGTAAAACCAAGCTATTCATAATAATAAAATAATCTAATAGACCGAAAATTCTAAATTACGAAATCGCGATCAACGTTAATAAATTGAGAAGGCCTACCGTTATCGATAGGATTTCTGTTCTTAGAGAGAAGAAAAGCATTCTTAATCTGTTTGGTAAGAGGAGAGCTTTGAAAAATCATAAAACAATATTTGTTTTAGTTTATTTTCGATAATTTTACTTTCAATTTACCACTAACATTTATTCTTTTGGTAATTAAACCCGAAGTTTCAATAAACTCGCTTTGGTAAACGGATCCTTGGGTTTTGTTAATGTTTCTAAACCGATACGAAGCCCCTTACTACTAGACCTTATTTTACAACGTATAATTTGAAACTTATTTTACAAAATATAATTTGAAACATAATCAAAATACTGACAATGTGATAACAATTTTTTTTTCTGCCCGGGAATCCCCTCGGATACCACACACCTCTAGGGTAGTTGTGTCGGACTCGAACCGAAAAAAAACCACTCGCCTTCTCTGGTACCAGTACCCATAGGTGTACCCTAGAAAGGATATTCCTGGTACCCCGACGGACCTCGATCCAACCAGGGTCAATGTGGTAGAATATTATTATTATTAAT